AGGCTGGCGTTTGGGTGCCGGGAGGAGCAGTGGGGCTGAAGCCACAGGCTGGCGTTTGGGTGCCTGGAGGAGCAGTGTGGGGAGGCTGCTCTGCTGCTCCCTCCGCAGCCCCAGGAGCAGTTCCCGCTTGTCCAACCCCATCGCCCAGAGGTGCCGGGGGGTGCAGAGCCCCAGTGCCAGCCCCACCAGCACCTTCCCTGTCGGGCCTGGATGCCCTGTTAGTGCAGACCCTCCACAGGAGGTGGGGAGGCTGCTCTGCTGCTCCCTCCGCAGCCCCAGGAGCAGTTCCCGCTTGTCCAACCCCATCGCCCAGAGGTGCCGGGGGGTGCAGAGCCCCAGTGCCAGCCCCACCAGCACCTTCCCTGTCGGGCCTGGATGCCCTGTTAGTGCAGACCCTCCACAGGAGGCACCGGGGGCAGCCACGGGCTGCTCATCCCCGCGGGGAACGGGGCTCATGGCTCCTTCTCCCGCCGCGCGGCCCGGCCGGGCCCGCAGAAGTCGCTGCGCAGGAGGCGGTAGAAGAGGACGACGTTCATGGGGGTCATGAGGGCCATGCCCACCGTGCCCACCGCGTAGGTCCCCGGGGGCACGTTCTGCCGGTTGAGGAGGAGCCAGCGGGACATCCAGGCCAGCGTGGCCATGCGGAACACCAGGTAGGTGCCCAGGTTGAGGAGGCTGTTGAGGCGGTAGCACCTGGTGTGCACCAGGTTGGCCATCAGCAGGATCTGCCGCACGTGCAGGAAGATGGAGTTGATCTCTATCAGCAAAGCCACCAGGGCAAAGCCGACGTACTGGTGGAGCAGCACGGCGATGCCAAAGCAGACGATCACCTGGGGAGGAGGAAGAGAAGGGGCTGAGCTTGGGGGCTGGGGACCCTCATGCCTGGGCACAGCGCGGGGCAGAGGTGGGAACAACCACCAGGCCAGTGCCAACCCCTGGGCACCACCACACACACCTCCCCGCAGCCTCCCCACCTGCACGAAGCCTGAGCAGGATTTGTTGGGGTTTTGTTGTGTTTTTTTCAGAGGGAGGAGGAGGAAACACTTCTTATAAACTCCAGGTTGGGAGAGGAGGCAGAGCAGCCAGACCTAACCCAGCTTTCGTAGCCTGGGGAAAGCAGTTGGTTGTGGCCCAGCAGGTTTTTCCACACAGAGTGAAGGGTTGAATGTGGCAGGAAGGAACAGATGCAGCCCAGGGCTACGGTTGCTGCTGGCTCAGGGATTCTCCCCAGAGCAGCCACTGCAGGGATTAAAGGGCTTTGGTGCATCCCAGAGCCCCTGGGATGCCCTGAGCCTGGCATGGAGCCCCTGGGGCTGCTGGATGGGGCTGCTGGGGGCAGACTGGGCAGGATTCCTGCCCCACACCCTCCCTTCAGCACACTCAGGCCTTTCTTCAGTTTATACCATGAATGCTGTTCTCTGCAGGAGCCATAATGCTGGATTGGCTTCTAAATGAGATTATCTGCTCCCCGCTCTGTTAAATCACTGTCTTGGCCTGAATTAGCTCTATTGTGGAGATGACCTTTTGACTCACTATCAGGGAGCTGCAGGGCTGGCTGGGCTCTGCAAAACAGCAGGTCTGACCATTGCCTTCCCCACCCCATCCCAGGTAGGTCCCAGCGCTGTCCCTCCCACCCCTCCCCAGGCCCAGCAGACCCCCTGTGCCTCCCCTGTACCCTGCAGCATCTCTGGGCTGTGCCACCCCCCTGCCCTGCAGCATCCACAACACCCCAGCGTCCAGACATCAAAGAGAAACCCAGGCTGGGCACAGGCAGCAGCAAGGTGGGCAGAAGGCACAGGTGTGGGGTCCTGCACCAAGGCTGCTCCAGCCACCCCCAGGGCCACAGCTCTGAGCCACATGAGAGGAAGTGCTCTGGGGAGCTGGGCTCTCTGCCCCCCTACTCTGTATACACATGGGTTTTTTTACCTATCCCATCTTTACGTGCCTTTCTGCAGACTCACAGAGTCCCACAGGACCAAGAGGAGCCCCAAACTCTGCTGTTTTGGATCCTCTCCCCAGGCAGAAGAAAAAAAATCAGCTTTTTAACAGGTAGCAAGAACCCACACTGGCAAGAGCAGGAGCTCAGCCCATGTCCTCCAGCCTCCCTGGTCACACAAGTACCAGGGTCTGTCCCTTGGAGACCTGGTGGACTCACCACAGAGTGATGGAAGAGCAGCTCCCAGGACTGGCGAAGTTCCTGATTGCACAACATATCCACAAAGTCTTCAAGGAAATAACCTGGGATCAGAGAGGCCATGAGAAAACAAAGGGGGTCAGGAAAGACCATGCCAAGGGACCCCCCCACTCCAGCTCTACACCTGCCTGGGCTGGGCAGCCTCTCCAGGGAAGTGATGGCCACAGCTCAGCCTAAGCCCTGGGTGGGTGGTCAGCCAGGCACAGAGCAGGATCACACACAGCAGGAGAAGGGAATGGCTGTAGTTTGGGTCCCTTCTGTGAGCACTCTGCAGGATGTGCTCCTAAGGAGGGGCACTAACTAGCCTGGATCTACTCCTGGAGCAGGGTGAGAGCAAAGGCAGATCATGGATCTTGGTTACCATCCCAGAATCAAACCCTTTCAGCCTGGAGCCCTGAGCTGCAGGACTCACTGCCACCAAACCAACCCCTTGTTGTCATTTTGGATACTGAAACCACCTTGCCAGGGAGCCTGTTAGCACTGACCACAGGGCTGGTGACACATCTGCCAGAAGGTGACAAGGATGGGAAGTGGCCTCCTGGCCTGCACTCTGGCAGGTTCAGCTCAAGGCTTTAGAGGGGATCTGCACCAAGCCCACATTGTGGGCACTTCTTGGATTCCCCAAGCCCTGGCTGCCCCGTGAGGACAGGGGTGGGCAGCCTGGTGCCCAGCACCTCCTGGCTGCGGGCGCCGTGGGACAGAAAGGAGCCACTGTCCTTTGCCAAGAATAGGGCAATTGTCTGGGGTGCCTGAGGCATCGCTGCCCACGACGTGGCTCCAGGGGCTGGTGTCAGGCACAGATGGGTCCCTGAGACCCCCCGGGGCACAGAACAGGGAGCAGCCCAGTCGCAAACCTCACCTACAGACACGGCGACCAGGCTGTGAGCCCCGGGTGGGTGAGTGTCCACCAGGTCCTCAGACAGCTCGGGGTGGAGGAAGAACCTGTGGGGAGAGGGGCTGTGAGTGCCAGGCACTGCCTCTGGTCCCCCAGTTCCCTTCCAGTGTCTTTGGTGCCCCTCTGGTGCTGAGGACCCTCCCTGCAGCCCTTCTGACCCCCCCATAGCCACCTCTGTCCTCCTGTCCC